AGGTCAATCTACACATTCAATTCCTGGTGACTCAGCTTCTGATCCAGCTTCTTGCTAAGACATCTGGGAATCAGCAGTTGATGGCTCAAGTACGTGAGTTCATAGGAGACCTGGGTGGAACTGTTGGCTTTTGGTTTCAGAACAACCCAGTTCTGCTGTTGGGGACCATCTGAGACCCCCAATCAGTAGAAGACTTTCTCTCTCTCTCTCTCTCTCTCTCTCTCTTGCTTTGCCTTTCAAGCAAATACGTAATTTTGTTAAATTTGTGCCCTGTGTGAAGTGATAAGTTCAGCTTGCAGTTCAATCATCCAGGGGCTTTTCCTCAAGGCAACCTCTGTACTTCCCAAGGCAGAAAGGCTGTGTTCAATCTCCTATCTCTTCAGACAAAATATTAAGGAAAAAATACATGCTCAAGGTTGAGATTTTTAAAAAAGATTTATTTGTTTTTATTTGAAAGTCAAATACACAGAAAGGAGGAGAAATAAAGAGGAAGAGCTTCCATCTGCTGATCCACTCTCCCAAGTGGCCTCAATGGCTGAAGCTGTGCCAATTCAAAATCAGGAGCCAGGCGCCTCTTCTGGGTCTCCCACATGGGTGCAGGATCTCAAGGCTTTGGGCCAACCTCTCCTGCTTTCTCAGGCCACAGCAGGGAGCTGGATGGGAAGCTGAGTCACCAAGATTAGAACCAGTGCCCCTATGAGATCCCTGGCACATGCAAGGTGAAGATTTTAGCTGCTAGGCTACCATGCCAGGCCCAGGGTTGAGTTTTAATATGAGTTAATCCTTGTAGTGTTTCATCTCAACTCCTGCTTGTCTTTTTACAAAGCGGCACTTTTTCCATTCATACTTTGTTAAAGTCAGTTTGCCCACCATCACTCTTAACACCTTCAGCGCAAATGTCAGCAAAGTGAAAAAAGGCAAATAGTGTGTCAGTATTCTTGTCAAAATAGCTCTGGCCTTGTGGAGTCCCCAAAGGGTCTCTGAGCCTCAGAAAAGTCCCAGACAACACTGAAAAATGCTGCTGCAAAGGAAAGCATGCTGCTTCTTCTGTTTTCTTCTACAAAAATTGGAAATTTTTTGAAAGGCAGAGATAGAGAGCAATAAAGATATTTCCTCTAGCTGCTGCTTCACAGTCAGGTCTGAGCCTAGCCAGTGTAGCAGCTGCAACTCTCACATGGGTGACAGGGACACAAATACTTGAGCTATCACCTGCTGCCTCCCAGGGTGTCTAGAAGGAGGTAACTGTGTTGAGAATGAAGTTAGGACTGTAACCTGGGAACTCTGATATGAGATGCAAGCATCCCACACTGTACCAAACCTGACTCCATAGCAGATTCTACTGGCTTTGAAAGGCCTTAGCACCAACTGGCTAGACAAGGGGAGTTTTGCTAAGACAGAGGTTCCTTATTTCTGTTGGAAAGATGAGGACTTCTGCTCAGTTTTGGGAATGGCAAAAAAAGACTATATGAACCAAAGGTTCTATCCAGTTGGCTCAAAGTCCTTTCAATCTATTTTCCTGTTGTATGTGACTTGAAACATGTAATGGCACATGAATCATTTGTTTTGACGGTCCCAAACAAAGTCCACTAAACTTTGCACATCAATTGCCCATAACTGCAATTCGGTGTTCTTTTTATGGCTTGAAGAAGAGGCAACTTGCATTTGTCCTAAATGGTGAATGCAATAATTAATTCCTCAAGCTGCCTTCCAGTGTGTGAGAAAAAGCTCTCATTACATTTCTCCCATTTTCTGCTATTTCTTGAGATAAATTGTTAGTCTCTAAGGACACTTGTCGCCCACCACAAAGTATCCAATTCAGACATCGCATCCTTGTCTGCTGTGTCAAGTTCTGCATTTTGTCTGTTGGGGGGGGGGGTTTCTTTTTCTTTTTTCTTAAACTTGTTTTCCTTCTGGAGTTGGAAACCAGGCAGTGGGAGGACAACAGGTTTTGAAAGGTCATCTTTGAATAAAGAATTGTCTGTGTGCGCTTTCATGACAGTGGTGTGTTTTTTGTGTATTGGTGAAGGGAAGTGGGATTTAAGAAAAATGGAGCTCTCTTCTGGCCAAACCTGTCGAAAAGTTGAATTTTCTTTACCATTCAATTTATTTGCATTTCTTATGAATGAATGCCTTGAATTGATAATAAATGAGGGGAAGGGAATGGAAAGAATTAGACCAATTATACAAAGTTGCAATTAAGATGAATCGGCTTTTATGATTGTCTATGAGGATGACCACAATTAATAACACAATATGGGATATTTTAAAATGGTTTTTAAAAGATTCAAAATGTGCTCACTATCAAAAATAATAAACATGTGAGGTGACAGGTTATTTAACTTTATATAATCATATTGGTATATATATATATCTAAAATTATCACAACATACCTCACAAATATATGTAGTTATTATCAAATAAGAAACAATTAACAAAACAACATAAACTGGCCAAAAAAGCATAAGTCCCTTTTATATCTTTCATTCTCCAGAAGGTAGGTTCTGATAATAGACAAAAACTACATCCACTCGGTTTCTCTGATTATAAAATGCTTTTTGAAGGGCTTTGAGTTTCTCATGTGGCTGATAATTTAAAAGGCCTGCCATTGTTTGTGCCCTGTAGTGAGGCCGTGCCAACAGAGTTTGGTTTAGATTTAGGCTGTAGCAAGAGTAGCATAGCCCGGTTCATTCTTTCATCACACACCATTGCAGGCTTTGAGAGGCAAGCAAAGTTCGGCTGCTTAACGGGACAGCCCACTAAGAAATATCTATGTTTAAGTATTTAGCCTGATTTACACTCTGTGGGAACAAGCCATTGCTTGACATCTAATTTCTTTCATTTTCATGTCCTTTCGTGCCCGTATCAGATTTCTCATGATTTAAAGCAAATGCAGGGAAACTAAACAGTCAGTGCAGAATAATTGCAGGCTTGCAGGGCTCGGCATGCACGGCAATCACTGGTGCAAACCTGAGTCATTAGGAAGAAAACACTGTCTCTTACCTATTGACTTCTGCAAAGCCACAGAATCAGCTGTAACCAGCTTGTTTTGTTGCTGTGCAGATAATGCAGTCAGTGCTTGCCTTGGTACAGCATATTTGCTTTAAAATCTTCTTACGAAATCAGCCTCTCTCTGTGTGTGTCTCTCTTTCTGTCTCTCTCTCTCTTTATCTCTCTCTCTCTCACACACACACCAATGGGCAGCATAATTACAGGCTGTAGAGTGAAAAGTATTAGAACTGTTTACAAAACAACTCATAAGTTTAAAATAATAGGGGTGGATCTGTGGGTTTGTGGAAAACCAAACAATACTAGGGCAGAAGTACAGAGTGCACAGCCTTTCTTTCTTCTTTCACTGCCCCATGTCATCCTCCAGAATTTGGGAGTCAGAGATGAAGGATGGAGCCCCTTGCCTCCTGCAATGTGATGCTTACACTTAATTAGTTCTGCTTACTTATCCGGTGCCAGTTTATTATTGCAGATCAAAATACAGATACTCAGGTGTGCAGGGACAGCATGGCTGGTGAAGGAGGCTGCTATCTAATTAATTTCAGGGCAGCCCAAATTTCCACAAAGGGGTTCTCTCACAATTTACAAAAGATTTTAAAAAAAAAAGAGCCACTTGCTGTCTTTCAAAAATTCAACAGCAAAGCTTTCAGTAGGTTTAGTGTTCTGAAATTGAGAGGGACATTTTCCCAACCCTTTCATAAAACTCCTCTTACACAGCTTTATAAAGATTTTGCAGCAGGACCCTCTGGAATTTATGTATTTCTTTATTCTTGTATGGAAGGATAGCCACTCACCCCTAGCCTGAGAGCCAATCACTCGTCTTGCTTTGTGGGTATACATCTGCTGCGGCAAAGCAAAAAATCCCGAAGTGGCTGGGCTGTGGTCACTGTTGACAACAGTAAGGCCGGTGACTGGCAGTTGGAAGGGGCTCTGTCCGGTCAGGCGCCAGCATGAGAGCTGAGGACACTGGCTGGATAGGACCAGCTGTTCTTCAGAAACGCACCTTCTCTCTTGATGATTGATGCGGGACAGTTAGGAACGCTGAGAGGGGGAAGGACATGAAAAGATTGTCCTTCCCGTCACTCACCATGAAATCTTGTCAGTGGAAATGACTCCCCAGGGGAGGGAGTAACATAAAGCAGATGACAAATGACAGCTTAGCATTTCATTCTGCCTGCTAGGTACTCAATATGACGTACAGGTGAGTGAATTACCTCTCCCACAAAATGCCCCTCACGCCAGCAGCTCCCCACATGTAAACATGCCTTCCAAATGATATGAATTCTCCCAGGCACTGCTGCCTCTTCCCAATCAATCTGTGGCATGTTTCCAAGTACTGCTGGAGTGCTAGTAGGGGTGCCACTCTTGCCATCACTGAAAGAGTTGATTATGAAATGAAGATATGGTTTGAGTCACTTCTTAGCAGTTCTCAACGGTGTTTCTTTCTGTTTATCACTTTTAGAGTATGGAAATATATATATATATATATCTCCATAAAATATAATAAGCCTTTTCAAGAGACTGTTTCAGGTAAAAAAAAAAATCAGTTTCTAAGTCTTTGACTGATATTTGCTTTGCATTTCTTTCTCACCCTTCTAGGACTCCATCTACATGTTCCGAATACCACTGAATGTATAAATTGATTATTCAACCAGGACACCTAATTCAAGGTATTAGCCCTTGTTGGAAAGCTTTTACAGTGGAGCTTTTGGAAATTATACCTTGGCAATCAGATGCAATAAGAAAAGTTGGAATGAGAATCAAAGACAAAAGTGAATTTGCAAAATAATCAAGTGCTTAAAAAACTACCCACCACTTGGGAGGGTTTGCAATGTCTGACTCATGTGCAGCCCTCTCACTGCCAGTGTGCGTGCCAATTCTGACTTATTTGTAGCCCTTCTTCTGCAACCGTGTTTGGGGTTTGGGTTTCATTTTAGTCCTGCTTCTCCCTTTTTCCCTCCCCTGACTGCCCAGACCTCCAGAAAGCAGGAGACTGAGACATTTTGTCAACTTTGCAACATTGGACCAAATACAATGAAGTATTCTTGTTGTGCTCTGGTGCTGGCTGTCCTGGGCACAGAACTGCTGGGCAGCCTGTGCTCGACTGTGAGATCTCCACGGTTCAGAGGACGATTGCAGCAGGAACGGAAAAATATCCGACCCAACATTATTCTTGTGCTCACCGACGATCAAGACGTGGAGCTGGGTGAGATACTGTATTCTTCGCTTGTTAGTTTCTTGTTTAAATGATTTCTTGTGCTGCCTTCTCGGTAGCACTCTCAGACCTTGGGGGATGGGGAGTTGTACTTGATAATAGCATCTTCACCAATAGCCGCATTTATCCTTCAAACTTATAGTGATCATAAAGCATTTGGGTGGTGCTAAGCCTTTTGCTTTTTTTAAACATTACTTTTCTGGTGTTAAGCCTTTGAAACAGTCTCAGGAGGGAGGTATATGGATGAAGGAATAGTAAGATAGAATATTATATCTGGGTACTTTTTTAAAAATTCCGGAATAAGACAGCATTTAAAAGTAAAAATTTATTTTTGGAGCAAAAAATATTTAAATGCATGCATCGTTTTTCTATAATGCACATTTTTCTTGGACTTTTTGATGACACCTATTATAGAAATCAAGGATTTTATTGTGCATCTTGGAAAGTCTTGATCCAAACACTGTTAAGTTATTTGGACAGGTTGTTTCCAAAAATATGAAGAATATGGCCGTGAACTGATGCAATGTATACTCATTGACACAAAAGTTTTGAGGATGATTGTTTCTCATATGAATTGTTTGTTCATAACTTGTCATAGTAATGAGTAAGTAGTGGAAGACAACAGGGTACTCCTATTATTTGATAGTTACCTTAGGAATGGTGGTTTTTGAATTAACTTGCTTGGGTTAATTCTAGAGCCTCAGAAACATGGACGTACCCTGAGAGTTCCAACTCACTTCTTGATTCTTTTTGTCTAATCCTAGCGTTTGTCCATAAGCCTATGAGCGCATTGTCCCAGTGTATGAAAGCAAAGTTGGCCCTGAGTGGACCACATCACTCTTCATTTCTATCCATGGTGTTCCCAGGCATTGTTTCACTGCGTTGACTGAGTGCACACAAGTTGATCACAAGCAGAATCTTTCAGAGCACACTTCTTTACACAGGGTCTGTAGCCTGGGATTTGGCACACAAAACTCCCTAGGCTGGAATGCACCTGCACTGAAGGAACCTGGAGTTTCAGTTTGAAACTGTAGAATCTCAACAAAGTTAACTCTGTAGAATCTCAACAAAGTTAACTCTTTGGATTCAGTTGGAAATAAATGCACCCAGCAAGGGTCATCATTGTTGAAGTCAACTTGCAGACTCAAGTTCTTTCGCTTCATTTTAAGAACAGAAAAAACTGTTGATTTTCTAGACCTGACATTTTCTGATCTTGCACTTTAGAACATTTCTGGCTGGTTCTCTGAATCCTTTCATTTAGTTACAGAGCAAGTAAAACATTTGCATTCACATTCTTTTTTATTTTGAAAAAGATGTATTTATCTTTATTGAAAAGTCAGATCAATTTTTTTTTAATTTTTAATTTTATAGTACAATTGCATAGGGAGTTCACATTCTTAACATCACTAACATCCATCCTTTCACTCCCCCCGAGATCTTCATCTTCTCCACATCTACACAGGTGTATCCATAAGTGATGCTTTCCTGGATTTCCTGTCCACTCAATTCTTGATCCTTCCATGGTCAGATTTATCTTTCAGATGTCTGATCAGTTCATCTCTCAGTTTGAATCCTTTCCAAATTTTCCAAAATTTCCATTTGCCAAGAGGACCAAGCTCTTCTCCTCTGCAGGCAAATGAGCACTGTCCAGTCTGGCACCGACTGTCCCTGTGAAGGCATGGCTCTTTCGCGTACCTTCATTCCCCGGAGGGTGATGGGATTGGTGAAATCATGCCCTTGCCTACAACTCAGCCCCTCTGCCTGTCCACACTTGTTTCACTTGAAGAAACCCTGCCTTTTCTTCACAATCCAGCTCCACTGTTCACCCTCAAATTCAGTACCCTGTACCAAAACATCTTTGCCTTCAACATGGTCAGTGGAACTCTGTCCTCCCTTAGATGTGCCGCTAGCTAGCATGGCTCATGCTCAGTGGTAAAAGTCTGTAGGCCAGGCTCAGTCAATCCAGATGTCCTCCACACAATTTTTTTTACCTCCTCCATTGATTTCCTAGCCAGATAACATTTTAAACATTAATACTTATTCTTCCAAATAACCCTAGGAAGTAATTACTGTTATACCTCTCTATTTATGAGGAGACCGGACCTTGGCGCAATCATGTGTAAACTATAACGCTATAACGGAAAAGTCTAAACCTGCAGCAGGTGTTGGTCTACACAGCTAAACATTTAACCACTTTTTCCTCCATCAGTCAGCCCTTCAGCTAATATTTGTTGAGACCTTCCTAAAAACAACCTGTGCCTGCATAGTAATGTTTTCAATTCAAAGAGTCAGCAGAAGCCTAAGATGAGCATATTTAGTAGTTGGCAATGCAAGATGACTGTGAACCACAGCAAATAAGACCACCTTTCTCACCTGGAAACTCATGCCTTTGGGAGTGGCCACTTCCTGGTGACCACTTTAAGAGCTTGGAAGTGAACAGTTCAGCAGTGTCTTTGTAGTACATTCACATTTCAAAACCAGTGGCTGGAATGCTTGTCACCTCACAAAACCAAAAGTCTTTACCTGTTAAAGTCTTCACTGTTTCTCCCCGCTCCCAAGCCCTGGGAACCACTTTCTGTGTTTATGAATTCAACTCTTACAGGCACTTCATGTAAACGGAATCATAGAGTATTTGTCTTTTTGGTAACTGTCTCAGTTCACAAAATATGTCTTCAAAGCTCATCTGTGTTTTAATTTGTTAGAATAACATCCCGTTGTATATATAAACAGTGTTCTTGTTTATCCATTTATTGTGTTGTTGGAAACCTGAGTTATTTCCTCCTGTGGCTGTGGTGAATAATCCTGCTATGAATGTGAGGGCCCAAATATCTCTTTAAGTCCTCACTTTCAATTCTGTTGGGCCTATACCCAGATCTGGATTTACTCGGTTATATACTTTTTAGTTTTTGAGAGAGGAGAGCACAGGGAGAGAGAAAGCTATAATTTGCTAGTTCACTATACAAATGTCCACAGTGGCCAGAGCTGACCCATCCTGGACTGATGCGGGCAACCAGGAACAAAATCCAGGTGTCTTGTGTGAGTGGCAGGAACTCCTTTATTTGAACCATCACTGCCGTTTTCCAGGGTCTGTGTTGTCAAGAAACTAAAAGCAGAAACTGGAGGCAGGAATTGAACCTCGTCACTTTGTTGTGGGATGTGGTTCTATTAACTGCTAGACAAAACGCTCACCCCAATCATTTTTTTCAGAACTGCTTTATTACTCTCCACAGTAACTGTATTGTTTTATAGTCTCTCCAACCACGCACAAGTGTTAGCAGTTTCTCCATATCCTCACCAACACTTGTTAGTTTCTGCTTGTCTTGGTTTTGTGTTTTTGAATAATGCCTATCCTTAATAAATTCAAGGTGGTGCCCCATTGTGGTTTTTACATGGCTGGGTTTTGTTTTTTACTTCCATGTAATGTTGTTTGCCAAGTGCTTTCATAAATCTTTGTCTATGCGAAACTTTTTACACCTGTAATGCTGCAGGCAGTTTTGGCTACCGTGCCTACAAAGAGATACAACAGACTTAGGAAAGGCTTAGGAAGACAATTATGAAAATTTTAATAGAATACTTTTCTATTGGAAAAGAATAAAAGAACTCTGCCCCTTTGTCTGAAAAGACAAAGGCCAAGCAGCACTGTAATCAACGTCTATGAAATGAAACGGAGAAGGGAAGCACTTGTTCCGTGTGAGAGGAGCCACTCCCTCAACTTTGAGACAAATAAAGTAAACTAATACTTTTTGAAAGAATAAGACACATACGGAATTCATTAATAAAAGTGCTAGAACCTTACGTGGGGATAACACTTTGTTTTGCCAAGTAACATTCACTCCCAATATTGTGAATGAACACTGCCATCCCACCCATGTTGGCTGCATAAAGCATCATTATCTCAGGGGGAAAGAGCCTGTGGAAAAATTAAACGATGGTCCCCTTATTCTGGATTAGCGTTTCTCCTTTCTCTGGAGCTTAAGAAGTTTCTCTGGTTATGCCTATACTCATGAATAGTTCATGACTTTAGGCTAAAATAACAGGTTGAAAATTTTTTTTTGAAGCTAGGAAAGCACACATGGAAATGATCACCGTCAAGTTCATGATGCTAAGTATTTCTGCTGAAAGATAACCAAGAGCATCAACAGCATTCATCTTTATTTTAAAATTAAGATTAAATTTCTATTATCTCCTATACTTCAAGTATTTTATACAGCAAAAGGAAAAAAAAAACTGAGAAATGCTTGGAGGGGGGAACCTATCTAACTTGATGAGTCACAGCCGAAAATGTAGATCTTTCAAACCTTTTCCAAGTAGTCCCTTGATTTCACTCAGAGGTAAAACACTGGGGTTGGCATTGCTTTAGAATAAAGCTGCTGTCTACAATGCCAGCACCTCATGTCAGTTCCAATTTTAAGTCCTGGCTGCCCTACTTCCCATCCAGCTCTCTGCTGAAGCACCTGACAAGGCAGCACAAGATGGCCTGAGGAGCAGCTCCTGGCTCCTAGCTTTGAATTGGCCCAGGTTTGGACTGGCAGAGCTCTGGTCATTGTGGTCACTTGGGGAGTGAAACAGTGGATAGAAGAGGATAGACAATTTTTCTCTCTGTGTGTGTGTGTGTGTCCCTCTGCCCCCCCCTTTCTCTTTCCCTCTGACTCTTCCTCAACTTTAAAGGAAAATAAATATTTTTTAAAAGGCAAAAACATGATCTTTCAGTAAGAACTAGTCCTTAGATGTGTGTTGTTTGACCAGAACATTTTTTCAAATTACATCAATATTTTAAAAGTCAGCTTTCCTATAAAAAAAAAAGCTCCGGATTTCTAGTTTTCATGAAAATCCAGAAGAATACGCACTTACATTTCCAAGAGGCAGTGATCACTTGAAAGCGTGAAGGGGAGTCACAGCTGCCCCTGTAGGTGGCTGTACCCTGAATGAGGCATTCCTCTCTGCTGTTCCCAGCATTTCTGCCAAGAAGCCGTTACTGTTTATCAAAATGC